TAGACCACAAATCCGTGCTAAAGAACACCGATTCCTTCCAAGGAAGATTCGCGAGGCTACTGAAATCGAAAAACAACCAAATTTCAATAGAGAAGATGGCTGGGTGCTACCATCTGCTTGAGATCCTATAATAAATAAAATTAAATCCCTACCCAAGCATACAACTGCAAGACTTCATGATACTGTATACTCGTTTACGTAGATCGGAACAAAAATTTATAATTTTAAACTGAAGGGGGCTGTAGTTAACTATGACATTAGAACGTCAAACACCACAGTTCTCCGGTGACCATGGGTGCTGTAAAGTACCCGAAACGTCGGGAATTTGAAATAATATACGCGATAAAATCGGTAAAACTTAGTTTCATTTAAACCTATTTCATTATATAAATATTGGATATATATAATTGTGGCTTGACAATCGCAAGACCAGATATCCCGCATCAGGACACTATTTCCCGTTCCCGGCCTGGGTATTTTATGTCTGGTGTAAAAGAGATCGTTATAAGGCAATCCAACGAAAGCTACAGGACCTTAGCATTCTATATTCTATAGCTTCCTAATGTTGGTACCAGATATTCCTAACCCGCCATTACACATCAAAAAAATAAAATGCAAAAATATGACCTTAATTGCTGCCTTCATCTCACCTGCTGCACATGGTATTACTATTATAGAAAAGACTTATCTTTTAGCCCCTTTTGCCTTGATACTGCTCTCAGTCGCCGGTGTAATATAACATCTTGCAAATATTTCTTCAGGATTGTTAATGGTAATAATGTTGCCATCTATCAGAGACAATTAGATTTAATTATTAATTAGGACGCCGTTTGGTTGCGGCGTAACCCACCTGCCGAGCGTAGCAACTGTGGCAAATATTCTTCATATGAGAAAATCTACAAAAGAGGCCTATCGTTTATCTCCACTTGTAGAACTTGATAAGCTGTGTTGATGAGATACAATTAGATTCTCCAGGTGTAACATATAATATAAGCCTTATCATTTGAAATAAAAGCAGTTATAAGCTAGACCTAGAGGACACAGCACTAAAGATTATATATTAAAAAAATGTCTTTTTTTAGTTTCGTTTGTTTATTTTTAATTTATTATAAAACTTATTTTTGACGTTGTTACGCTAACCATAGTCCGAAAAGCCCACGCTTTCATAAAATACCAACGTAAAATAGCAGTTTAATGCTGCTGTGTTTTGTATGGTGTGTCAACGAGAAAATTATTTCACTGGAAACGACGTATTCTATCTTAGTCTTCAGATGTAAGGAACTTGTTTGTCACTTTCATGTTTTTTTTTGTTATAGAATAAGTGTAACAAGCGAGCACACAGTACACCTGATGGTAGGTGGATGCTGTAGCCCAAAAATCTATATCTGTCCTCGATTAGGAATCAAAATGCACATGCGTTGTCACTCCTCAGGACTAATACGGAATGCCTCATTATCATATTCAGTAAAGAGTGTCTCCGGTTATCTACACTCACCATACGGAACATAGAATCATTGAGCTGCTATTTTACGCTGATTTTTTCTTTTATTGAAGAAGGGGTCAAACGAGCATGCGGCTCACTTGATGGTAAGTGACTGCCGTCGCCCATGAACAATTGCAACACCAGAAGAATTTCTGGCGCGTTGCCGGCCTTTTAAAAAAGAATGAGCACTTTTCTCGAAGGTCCATAACTCGTATTGGTCCGAAAAAGTCGCAGGTGGTAAACGATTCCACAGAGAGGCTTAGTAAAACGCATAGTGGTGAACCGCCAAACATTCGGATGGTGTGGATGGTATCGTGAGTTTTGTAGCGATGTGCGTTCGTGAAATTTGGCGGCTGGAATTAATCCGAACAATTCCTCAGAGCACTCTCCGTGGTAGATGCGATAGAAAATGCAAAGGGATGCAACATCGCTTCGTAGCGCCAGTAAATCGAGCCGATCAGAAAGAACTCGGTTGTCGACGGTATTCGAGCCACTTTGCGTTGGATGTGGTCAAGTGGAAGGAGCTGGCACTGGTGTTCCCCGGCCCAGAGACGAGAACAGTATTCTTTGTGAGACCGAACTTGCGCCTTGTAAAGTTGTAAGCGGTGTGCCGGCATGAAATACTATCGTGCTCTGCTGAACACGCCAAACTTTTTAGAGGCAAGTGACCACGAAACCTCTCATCGATATATCGACGCCGAAGATTCCGATGCTAGCTGAGGAAGCAAGAGGAGTGCCCTGAAAGCCTGAGTGCCTTTTGAAGAGATACGACAAAAGGGTTTTTAGCGGTAAACACGCAAACCTGTGTCTTCTGATGATTAAATTGGACTAAATTTTGTCGTCCCCAATTTGAAACTTTGATTTACAACAACTCGACTTCAGACAAAGTTTGTTCTGGTTCTCGATGACGTGATTCCGAGAAATAATAGCACGGTCGGTGTAAAAAACATCACCTGTGCAGTCGTCTGGATATCAATAAGTGCTACTGGTTTGTAACATATCATTGACATGCAGAAGGAACAAGGAACGTAGTTCTAAAGTAGAACGAAGTAACAACGCACACAGCCTTGTGGAACACAGGCATTGATAGGCTTGTAATCGGAGCATGCAACGTTTACTACGACCGGAATGCTCCGATCAGCAAGGAAACTGGTGATTCAATTGCACAATTTCTCAGGAAGCCTTTAGGAAGGAAGCTTCGAAAGCCGCGCTTTGTGCCAAACCCTTGGACTCTACTGCCTCTGCCCATCTGTGAGTCAGGTAGACCAGAAGATCACCAGCTGATCGACTACTCCTCCCCCATCTTTTCAGGTAAGGCGCACCACAACACATAGCGCTCTCCTTCGCGGCCACCAACTTCACCTGCGCAACAAACGCCCCCGTGTCCGATGCGCGAAGAACATGGGGTCAGGAAAAACGAGTACTCAGAAGCACCATCCTTCCTGACACCAACGGTGGATCTGATCATTGGCTCTACTGCCAACTAAGATTCGGCTGTGAAGGGTAGGAAAAGCGGTGTTGGGCAAAATCAAGATTCCTCTACCCCTCGCAGCCCCACCACCGCATTAACGGTGCGGCCCCGTGCGAATCGCGGAGGATAGGACGAGTGGCGCATCGCCATACCAACACTCCACTTCCTCTGCGACTCCACCTTGACTGCAGCGGTAGGGGGAGGGGGCACCTCTCTTGCTGCAGCCCACAACACACATCCATAGTGGGCCTGCTAATCCCAGTCGGAGTAACCACCGCGGGTCGGCCTTACACCTCGGGACGGTCATGTGGGTTCTTCTTAGTTCACCGTGGGTGACTAAGCCACGGCTACTAAGACCCCATCGCCACGATAGTGCGGAAACGGTTCGGGGGAGGGGGAGTTATTTCAGACCATATGCTACGGTAAAGTCATATACAGATCTTCCCGCATGCACGGACAGCGTGACAGGGGTCGTCTTGGTTTTGTTGTTCGGCTTACTGCCATGTCAGTTTCTGTTTTGAGCGGAATTTTGAGCCACCCCAGAATACGCGGGATCGTCTGAGCACCCACGCTCAGGAGTGGAGTAGCTTGATCGTGGATGCTTAGCGAGGGTTTCCCCTACCATGTTGATGGGGGGTGGGGGTGGGGAGGAATTGGTCCTACGGTCACCTGCAATCACGACGAAACGCAGAAGCAGAGCCTTTACTTCACGCTGGTATTCTATGGTATTCTGTGGAACGTGGCCTTCTCCGGTCGATCCGACGCATTCGCGCTACAACTACAATATCGTTGCAGCATGGGTCTACCACGATTACAGTGGCATTTACAACTATGCAGGCAGCAATAAACGAAAAGATGGTACCTTGTACCCACCAGAAGGAGTCCTAAGAAGATGCTTACCACCTAGATCCTAAAATCTTGTTATTATTAGGCAATAAATTGAGACAACTGATTCTTTTCACAGGTTTTAAATTGCTCAGTTGGTTGCTTCGCGCACCTACCTACTTCAAATCTGTTGGTCTAGTATTTGTATATACGATACGATACGATACGATGATCATGTGGTCTCGGGTAAGAATCCCGATTCGAGCCAAAATCTATAGTAAAGAAATTCATTAACGAGCCAAGCTATATATCAATCCAAATATATCAATGATCGTATCGTATCGGATTGCCGCCCCATCGTACTACGATAGTTAGAGAAAAGAGAGTACATCTGAACTTGTGGATTATAAATCCTATCTTGCCAAATAATAACTAGAAGTTAGGCTGTAAAACTTTTTAATAGACTACCCAATGCCCCAAAAACCATAAATAATGTTAACATTATTTAAATAAAAGTTAAAAACTTTTTTTATTGGAAAAAAGTTTCTACACAGTAAATGATTATATTGAGTTTGGTAAAGAGTAATATTGCATGCATTATTTAATTAATAATTAATTACTGGTTATTGATTTTAAAAACACGATTAATTTTAATTAATTTAATTTAATATATTATGTTACATAAGTTTTCCTACACAATGGAGAGGAGCCGTGGTAGCTCAGATGGTTAACGCTCGCTGTAAATATAACAGAATGCGAGTAACCCGGGTTCGATCCCCGCCGGCACCAATGAAAAATGTATTAATGAATTAATTGCAATTTTAAGTGCTGATTTACCACGTGCTCGGCGGTGAAGGAAAACATCGTGAGCAAACCTGCATGTCTGAGGAACTAGAAATAAAATATTCCGAAGACATGTGAAGTTCGCCAACACGCATTGGGGCAGCGCGGCGGACACATTCTTGCCCTAAAACCCTCTCGGAAATGAGTGGAGGCCTGTGCCCAGCAGTGGGACGTATATTATAGGCTGTAAAAATGGATATTGTTTTTGAAATTAATGACTAATGACTAATGACTTGCGCAAATCAAGACCACGTTGATACTGGAACATGACCGAAATTCGGTGTGAAGAACATTATTATTACCATTAATAATTCTTACAAAACCATATCTGCTAAAAGTTACATTTGCACGTATATGTATAAGGAAATTTGATTTCAGAATGGGCAACACAAGTAAGAAATTGGCGGCGAAATGCACGCTCCTCACAAAGGAAGAACAGAAGTACGTGGCGGCTACGTTCAGAGCCGCCAGCAAAAACTCCGAGAGGATACGGGAGGATGATCTCATCGTGAGTGGAAAAGTAGATGCAGTGTCGCTAGAAGTTTGTTCATTTTATTTTTATTTTCATTTTTTATTCTTTCTTTTCAGTCAGTGATAAGGTTTAAGTGATTTAGTACTATAAAAAAACCCGACGATATCGTCAAAGGTCAATGTACTTTTTTCCGCCTGCCCTAGAAACGTACTATAGATTTATAGATGCACAGTACAGGTGGTTCAAAGGCTGTGATCCTAACACAATGTATGTGTATGTCTCGCACGTTGAACTTCTGTTGACTTTCTGCATTTAGCTGTGCTTGTATTCCACCTAATGCGGTGGAAAAAAATATAAACGACTGCAAAAAACCCATAGTAATAGCCTATAATAATATCTTTTTTATTTTTAAATATATATCTCGTAATAACGACAAGCATGGATTACACAGCCCATACAGCCCAATATTGCGGTCGTCAGGCGCAAATATTGGTCGTAAATAATTTTATATCCCGACAATTTTTTTTTGTGTTCGTTAACTTAGATATGATTATTTACTATGCCTTAAAAATAATTCCATGAACTTATTCGTAAGAATAGTGTGGTGTCATGGAGAAATGTAAATAATTAGAGCCTACTTGGCAATTTTTTTCTATCGAGAAAATTACATGATATCGTGTTTTTCTTTTATGCAATCCAAGGTCATATAGTCAAAAATCATATACCAAAATTTTGTTTTGTAGTAAATAAACTTAAAAAAAAATGTTAAATAGAAAAAACACAATATTTTCGAGGTACATTTCACCTTAACTTTTTCTTAGTATATAAAATGACAATTTTTTTAAAGTAAATCAATGCTTTTTATCACTTACCGTGAAATCTACTTAAATTCTAATGAAATGCAATAAAATTGAATAAATCCTCTTTATTATTAATCATTCAATATTCGTAGCAATATTATTATTATTATTTTTTTAATTATGTATTTTTTTATAGAGGAGGGGGCAACGAGCATGCGGCTCACCTGATGTTAAGTGACTATCGCGGTCTACATGATCAACCGCAACACCAGGAGAATTGCAGATGCGTTGGCGGCCTTTTAGAAATGAGTAAGCTCGTTTCTTGAAGGTCCTTACGTCGTATCGGTCCGGAAAAATCTCTGGTGGTAAACAACTCATCAGAGAAGTTGCTTAAGGAAGAAAACTCTTAGTAAAACGCGCAGTGGTAGACCGTCAAGCATCCAGATGGTGAGGATGCTATTGTGAATTTTGACGCGATGTGCGTTCGTGAAATTTGGCGGCTGGAATATATCCGAACAATTCCTCAGAGCACTCCCCGTGGTAGATGCAGAAGAAAATGCAAACGGATGTAACATCTCTACGCAGCGCCATTGAATCGAGCCGATCAGAAAGAAGTCGCGGGTATTTACCCGCTAGTAAATTTGGAAAATCCAAAATTGCCCGCCTCATAATCTTATTTGATTATATAAAAAGAAAAATATCTCTTTTTCCATATTTGAGACGAAAGAAGAATTCCATGAGAATATTTTTTTGTAGAAAAGTGCTAGCTGTTTTTTACATTTTCATTAATTACAGTTAAACGAGACCAAATTATTTAATGATTTTTAAAAGTTACCTGTGCGTTGAGATCCTAAACTTAATAAAAAAAGAATTATTTTGATACATTAATACTAACGACCGTAATCGTGCGCCATCCACACATATGGACATCCGGACATCCTCGAAATTTTTTTTTTTCAATCAGTTTGTTTCTACACTAAATACAGAAAATTACTTTTAAAAATTATAGAATCATGAAAACGTGTGATTTTTCTCGACATAGTAAAAAAAAGACATTTTTAACACAGAAAATTACATACTGGATTTCCATTAGGTGAGAGTAGAGCATAACGTCAACGCTTCGCTTATGAGGCGTGCAATATAATATTTTTAGTATTTAAGAACTAAGTTTTGTTTGCGTAAAGGGCGTTATCACGGTTGAAGCTCGTGGAAAGTTTGAAAAGATTTCTTCGCCGTTGGGGTCTCTTATGTTGGTAGAAATTAATCAGAAGACTTAATTTCGAATGGAAAAGTAGGAGATGTAGTTTTTTTTAATAGTATATGAGTGACAAACGAGCAAACAGTCTACCTGATGGTAAGTGGTGGCCCAAAAACATCTACACCTATCCTCAATTAAGAATCAAAATGCAGATACGTTGTCACTCCTGAGAATTAAGATGGAATGCCTCGTTTCCAGTAAAAACTAAACTCGCGATACCATCCATACCATCTGGATGACTGGCGGTCCACCACTGTGCGATTTAAAAGAAGTTTTCATCCTCGCACAACTTCCTTGTGGAATCGACGACCACCATTTTTCCGGATCGATACGACTTAGAGACCTTCAAGAAAAGAGCCTACACCTTTTTAAAAGGCCGGCAACGCATTTGTAATTCCCCTGGTGTTGCAGCTGTTCATGAGCGGCGGTAATCACTTACCATCAGGTGAGCCATATGCCCGTTTGCCCTCTCTCCTATAAAGAAAAGGTCTCCGGTTCTCTACACTCACCATACGAAACACAGTAGTTTTTTACTGCTATATTACGCTGATATTCTGTGAGAGCGTGGTCCTTCCCCGATCGAGCCTACCCATTCGTGCTACAACCATACAAATATAGATGTAGCATGGCTCTACCACTGTTTTTATTGTACCTATAAAGATGACGTTACGGTTGTTAACTGGAGCTTGTTGATATTCTTTACTTTATTTAAAAGGGTAAAAATAATTAAACCTTTAATGAAGGAAAAAACCGACTTAAAAGAAAATTATAAATTGATTTTGAAGTTGATTTTTATAAATTTTATTGGGTACAGTAAAGAGAGAGAGAGAAAAAATATTAAAAATTAAATATTATTTCTCTCTATCTCTTTACTGTTAATATAAATTTGATTTGTTCCTATGTTCTCATCGACCTTCCGGTGATATGGGACAAATCACGGGAAAATCTCGTGGTATTTGGCCGAGTTTCTTTTCTCTCGACTCCCTATAAGTTCTTTTACTTCTTTCGTCACTTAGTCTTAACTTCTAGGTCTGAATGCGCATGCATTTTACTCTCTCCTTCTTACGTCTCCATAGAAAAGTAAGGGTCGGCTACACTGCATGCTGGCAAATATCACATGTCCTATTTATTTTATTTTTTTAATTATTATAATTTTTTTTATATTATATTTCTTAAACATGCCGATCTTCTGACAATGTTGCTCCTCAAAATTTGACGAGCATCTGTTTTATATAAGTGCTTACTTTCTTTTTTCTTACTTTATTTTTAAAATACTACTAGTAAAATTATTGACATTACTAATACTCCCCTTTACCAGTCCAAGTTGTAATTCTTGTTTTAGGAGTGGGAGGGGTTTACCACAGTAGTCGTATGACGGATTCGAACCCACGACTTTTGAGTTTGCAATGCACATCACTAAGTAATAATATAACTGAGCCCAAAGTCCACTTGATAGAAAGTGACCTAGATCTTTAATCTAGTAGGTAAAATCATTAATTAAAATTGTAATTTACATTTTCAGCTAGTCCGTATCAAAGACCAGACTCAGGTCGCTAGACTATTAAATCTAGGACAAGTGCGTGTGACCATGGTTAAATTGAATGAAGGACACCTATCCATATTCAATCACACAGTTTAAGCGTGTTTCGGTCGACTTGATATTGACAGTTAACGAAGTAGAAGCGGTCAAACTGCTTGCCTATATGCATCCTTACATAGACTGTGGAGGTTATTGCTCGGACGACTTTGATCAGTGTGTTTATATGTAATGCACTCGATTTTCTTCAACCGTATTATCGATGGTCATATATAGTACGTAAAGTTTACAATAAAGTAACAATGAGATAGGCAGCATTTGGCGTTGCTGTTCTCTCCGGCTCTTCGGTTTTAAGACCTGACAACACTAGCTGCATTTGATGAAAAAAAGTAAAAAAATGTGAATAGTCCAGTGAAATAAGGTCTGAAATCAAAATTTTGACATTCAACTTTGCATTTTTGATAAAATGTAGTTTTATCAAAAATGCAATAGTTAGCATAGTTTATTATGTAGTTTACCAAAAGACAATATTTTAAGGTTTTCGTGTCTTCAACCCCCGGCAATGGTTGAAAAAATTGTCAAAAGTGTTTTGTTGCAATTACTCGAAAACTGTAAAATTAGACAAAAAAGTTCTATTTTTATAATTTTTTCACAATAAGAAAATCTGTTTCTCTAAAATTTAAGATTAGATTTTTTAAGCAATTTAAAGAAATGGCTTATTTTCCTATTACCTACGATTTAAATGTACGTTCACCGCTTTAATTTAAAACCTCCCTAATCAGGTTAATTTTGACCGGAGGAAAAAAACCATAACACATGGTTTATGCAAAATTTTAAGCTCTACACATTTTTATTAGAACTTTTTTGTCTAATTTTACCGTTTTCGAGTAATTGCGAAAAACACTTGAATCTTTTTTCCAACCATTGGGGTTTTTTCATAGGATAACGGTGACAAGCGAGCAAACAGTCCACCTGATGGTAGGTGGTTGCTGTGGTCCATAGACATCTATATCTATCCTCATTTGTGAATCAAAATGCAATTGCGTTGTCAGCCGTGCGGAAGAAGATGGAATGCCTCTTTTCCAGTAAAAAGGGTCTCCGGTTCTCTACACTCATCATACGAAACACAGCAGCATTAAGCTGCTATTTTACGCTGGTATTCTGTGAGAGCGTGGTTCTTCCCCCGGTCGAGCCGACCCATTCGGAATACAACTATACTATTAATATATCTGGAGCATGGCTCTACTACGTATAAATTTGGTTGCATTGCAGGCACGAAAATCTTTACACATTGTTTTTGTATCATTAAAGCTACATTATACCAAAAATGCAAAGTTGAGTGCCAAAATTTTAATTTCAGATTGACTGGACTATAAGAATATTCTTCGCTTTGGAGAACCAATTCTTGGCTTTTTACAGGGGCTGGGACTCCTTTTCGGTCTTGTATCTATTATAGACGCAATAACTTTAACGG